CACCATGTCACAAAGCTCGAATCATTTCAAATTGGTTTCTTGAACATGACAATGAGTTCACTGTACTAAAATGGCCCCCACAGTCACCAGATGTCAACCCAATAGAGCATCTTTGGGATGTGGTGGAACGGGAGCTTCGTGCCCTGGATGTGCATCCCACAATTCTCCATCAACTGCAAGATGCTATCCTATCAATATGGGCCAACATTTCTAAAGAATGCTTTCAGCACCTTGTTGAATCAATGCCACGTAGAATTAAGGCAGTTCTGAAGGCGAAAGGGGGTCAAACACCCTATTAGTATGGTGTTCCTAATAATCCTTTAGGTGAGTGTATAACTGTAATACAAAAATACGCAGAACGAGTGTCCATCCACACTCCATAAAAGAATTCCAGTTTAGTGGTGCTGTGGATTTTCTTGTCTTTGGAATGAATGCAGTTCATTATCTGTGTTTTGCCCCTTGTCGTACCATGTGGTCCAGATGAGCTAATTGTGAGCCCGACCATAAGATTGTTCCCCTGTGATGGCTGTGCTGGTTAAACTCTTATTATTGTTTAAAAGACTCAAGGGGAGAGTAGTTTTCTCAGGCTGGTGGGAAAAACCTGAAATCCTAGGGTAAGCATGGAACATGATTTATGATTGAGCCCAGTGTGAAGGAGACGCCGTTGCTTCTCTTTAGACCCATAATAGTGTGGCTACACTGAAAACATATCATTCAAAGGGATTGGTTGTGTATGTAATGTTTTATGCTGACAATTGCAATACATCAAGGTATTTTTAAAGCCTTTTTTTCTGTGTGAGGATGATATTTGTAGGGTACTGAGGGTTTGATAAGTTTGAATAATAAGCACAAACCCTATCATCGCCAACCATAACAGTGTAGTTTTCACACTTTTGTTGTCAGTAAGGATTTCCCTATGAAGAATTCTGTAAATGATTAGGTATAGAAGAGATACAGTAAAGATTGTTTTATGTGTCACGGTCAAATTACAAAAATGCCAGCATCTTGTGTTAAACTTGCATCATCACATATTTTTTTTCCAGTATATCAATGTAAAATTTGTGTCCCCAAACCGCATGTATGATAAAGTGATGCTAAATCCGCTATTCGCCATTTGCACAAGTACTGGTGCATTGGAATGCTTCTCTTTGCCTGCCCCATCTTGCTCTGTAGCACTGGGGGGGGGGGTCACAGCACAGGGTCAGCCAGTATTCAGCACCCCTGGAGCCAGAGGGGTTAAGGGCCTTGCTCAAGGGCCCATGGACATGTGAGTGTTCTGCTGAGGCTGGGGCTTGAACTGGTAACCTTCTGATCACAGGCACAGGGGGCTTAGTGCCGCGGGATACTTACCACCCCCTGTGGGACTTCTATAGATAGTCATACATTTAGAACAGATTTTATCATTTGCTCAGCCTTTAATTATTGTACTGTGATTTGCAATGACAAAATAAAAAAATATGCACATATTAAATAAATGAAACTGTATTTAAGGACTCAATTGCGCATCTTTTACTTATAAGCCTTAACTGTCAGTTTAAAGTCTACAGTGGCGAGTGTGACTGGTGTGTGAGAGTATGCCCTGGAAAATATGTGTGCTTTAGTTTCAAACTTCACTTTCTTAAGATGTTTGACCCCCTGCCACTGTACAACAATGCATTCGTTTGAGCACCAGCTCTCCCTTCTTCATTTTCTGGCAGTCAGCACAATAAGCTAGTCACTGAAGTGTCCCATCTCGCAAATCCAGTCCTGGCCTAAGTGTAACCTGCTGCACTCGCTTCGGACTGGGATGGTTCCTGGTCCCAGTCCTGTGGTTGATTTGAACTGCTTAGAAATGGAGAGGGGGGGGGGTTCCTGGTTATGGGTTGGAGCCTGAAAGTGTTAACTCTCTGAGAATATAATACTGAAATATAGCCTGCTGTAAGGAAAGGAGTCCTGATGAGCTTAGCTGTAGGGAATGACCATGTATAGAAAATGTATTTTATTCAACCAGCATTTCAGTAAGCTCTAGTGTTAATCCGTTTCTTTTTTTCACCATACAGTGGTACCTTGGTTTGCGAGTATAATTCGAACGCAAACATGCTTGTAATCGAAAACGCTCGTATATCAAAGTGAATTTTCCCATTAGAAATAATGGAAACTCAGATGATTCGTTCCATAACCCAAAAGTATTCATATAAAAATGATTCATACAAAATATAAAGTAAAAATGCATAAATCAAATTAACCTGCACTTTACCTTTGAAAAGAATCGTGGATGGTGTGAGGGAGACGAGAGAGAGGAGAAGAGGAGGGTTATTTTGTAGGACGACTTTCACTATAACTAACGGAATCACTGCTACTGTTGGCTCACTGGAATCTTTTTGCTTTTGTGCAACTAACAAGGAACCCGTCCAGTGACAGCCGCTTTTGCCTCCTTTTCTTTGTCGTTAAACAGATTCATCCCTCGCACTGCTACACCCTTATTTCTACTAAATTTTGACTATATGACTGAGGCACGCTGACTGAGACTGAGCATGGGAGACGATTACCCACAATCCCGCAGCGAGAGAGAGAGAGAACCATCGGCTCAGTTGTGATTACGTGATGCTAGACAGACAAAGCGTATATAATACTCATATTGCAAGACCTCGCTCTTTTATCAAATTAAAATTTATTTTTAAATTTTTGCTCGTCTTGCAAAACACTCGCAGACCAAGTTACTTGCAATCCAAGGTTTTACTATATATTGTATCTCACCACAGCATTGCAAAACTGCATGATATCCCCTTTGCTGAATGGTGACACAACTGAAAAAATATAGTTTCCCAAAACACATTATTGGTCTGACTTTAAATACCACCATTATATAGTTTCAGGTTTCACAGACATTTTATCAAAAATCTATTGTTGTTACTAGAAGTGGTTTACTGTTCATAAAACAGGATTCCTGTGATGTAATCCTAAGGTTACTTTCTCTAGTGTCTAAAGGATTTTTTTGTGTGAATTTGTTTGCAATTTTCTCAAAAATATGGATCACAAACCTTGCGAAATGTCACAAGGTAATAGTGAGAGAGTGAATAATTTGTCACAAAACCCATTCACAATCTGTTAAGACCAGAATGTACTTTTTTTTTTTTTTTTTTGATAGGATAGTGCCATAAACGCATAATTCCCCCCGGGGCACCATAGTTCAAGTACTCATAAAAAAAGGTATTCCTGGCTGCTCAAACCACCAATTTTGTGTGTGAGATGAAAACATTCCTTTGTTAATGGAGGCTGTATCTGAGGATTTTGTGTCTGGAAAAAACCTGCTTCTGCACTTTTTTTGTTTTAGCGTGGTATGTTACTGTTTCTTCCAGCGCTTCATGTACAGCGAAAACACTGGCAATTTTAAGGCAAACAACAACAGCTGCTGTAAAAACACAGTGTTAAGTGACCCTTTCAACTTCACGGACTTATAGGTGGCATGAATTTAAAAACAGAAAGGCAAAACAAAAACACATTTAATGCTTCTGAAGCAGATTGTCCTATAACCCTACAAATTTAGTTTTTCACAAGTTTTGCCTGTCTGCTCCGTCTTATTATAATTAATAGTAATCCTCATCTCCATCATAAGATATTTTGTCTGTGTGCCCTCTACAACAGCCCTGCTAACTTGCATCATTTTCTGCCGCAGCCCCACGAGTTCGACGAGTGCCGCTTCGATATCAGCGTGAACGACAGCGTTTGGTACCTGCGTGCCCAAGATCCTGAGCACCGGCAGCGGTGGATCGACTGCATCGAGCTGCACAAGGTGAGGCCTGCTTAGTGTCAGGATGGAGGGCATCCGAAGCACGCTTTCAGGAAGCATATACCAGACAAACCGAGCCGGCCTGGATCGCCGCGTCAGGTGGTGTGGTGTCAGTGTGTGAGAGTGTGTGAGTGTGTGTCAATGTGTCTGTGTGTGTTTGTGTGTGTTTGTCAATGTGTCAGTGTGTGTGTGTGTGTGTGTGTGTGTGTGTGTGTGTGTGTGTGTGTGTGTGCGTGCGTGCGTGCGTGCGCGCGCGCGCGCGCGTGTCTCTTACTAGGCTCCCACAGTTGGGTTGCTTGTTGAGATTTCCAGGCTTGAAAGGCCTTTCCCCTGTGCAGAGAGTCTAGGGTCTAGCCATGGTGAGCAGAGTGAGATGGCTGGGTGGTCACCGCAGAGACACGCTCTAGTTACTGTTGTTGCACCTTTTGAGGAGAATTTGTAACCCCCACTGGTCTGCATCAAGCTGTATAAATGAGGAAATGAGAAAATGGACCTGAAGTTAAGGAATCCTCTGGTCAGAGGTCGGATGCGTACCAGCTGCATTATAGCCCTAATATTGTGAACATCTCCCTGGCTTGGTGAGTGTAAATGGGTGGGACCAGCCCTGACGGCGATTGTCAGACTGAGAAACATCTAGGCTAAGGGGAAACACATGGTCGTTTCAAGTCTTTTAAACGGAACCATATTTCAGGCTGCTTACATGGAGAGACAAAATGGCTCCCCCTCCCCACCCCAGAGACCCTTCTAGGCTGCTTTGTTTTGATTTGAACTTGAAAGGCAGCCCAAGGCTCATGACTTATTGTTATTTTTCCAGCGCATTGATCGGCGGCCAACACGTGTGCAGCCTGCACGTCCCGCTGTCTGCCCAGGGCCGGTGCTGCCTGCCCCCAGTCCCCACCCGTCCCCAGCCGCAGTGTAGCTTTGCCCCCCATCCCCTCCCTGCCGCTTACAGCCATAATGTCTCCCTGTACGCCACACTGCTAGCACAGGACGGCATGTTTTTTTCCTGCCCATTTATCTCCTCGGCCCTGCTGCAGTTCCTGTCTGTGTGCCAGAGACGGGTCTCTGTGCGGGAGGAATGTGGCGGGATTGAACAGAGCTTTCTGCTGGGAAGGGTTTCGATACATATTTTGAGTTTATTTGGCTTTCTTGTTATTTGTGTATTTGGATAAATAAGTAAAATGTCTTCTAAGTTTAGTTGGAAAACATAACAGACAGCTGTAATATTACAGGATAGTATTTCCATTGTCATGATAACATGCTAAATCAACGCAATGAGCATTTACTAGGAGTAATAAGGTAATTTCGAAAGCTTTCATATTTCGAAACAAAAAAAGGCTGCAATCCCAGACATTTAGACTCAGTTTTAATGGTGCCTTTCCCACAGGAGCCTCCTAGTAGATCTGGTTGCCCAGACTGCATGCTGGCTTCCTTGATGGGCCTTCCATGCTGATCCATCATTTCCAGTGGAGACTGGGTCCATGCCAGCTGGGAAACCTGCTCGATTAGTGCAGTATTTATTCGCCCTTCCCCAGCTTTGGGCATTGGGGAATGTGTTGAAAAGCAGTCTTCAGATGTAAACCAGGTAGATTTACTGCTTGTTTTTCCAGGCTAGCGATCAAAAGGAGATTTTAAGGCAGCTCTCAAATGTAACACAGCCCGAACTGCCATTTGTCCATCCCGATGGCGGTTTTGACATGTGGTCGAAGGTGGCAAATCGGAAAAGTGCATCATGCTGTCAGCAGATAATTGCTGCTTTCTTCACTCAGCCAGCTCCAAAAAGTGTCCTACTTTTCTCAGAATAGCTCCACCGTTGGTCTTGTTATCAATGCACACTCTTGATATATATATATATATATATATATATATATATATATATATATATATATATATATATATATATATATACGTTGTGTTGACTGTATCGCCAGCACAGAACAGCTGTACAGTATATGCTGCTCCCTGTTCTCACTGATACAGCTGGCACTGTGCAGGCTCTGGACATTAAAGATCCCTGTAAATGCTCACCTCAGTGGGGGAGAAATGGGACCAAAGAGCCCACAGCCCTGCAGGCAAGGCAGTGCAACCCCGTGTCCCAGTTTCCCTAACTGCCCCTCCCCCGATAAGCTTGGTCGAGCAACATGGGTCACCTTGTTAGTCTCTCTGCTTGGGTGGTGGGACAGAGTGGCCCGTGTGCAAAATTATGTACAAAACAAAGGCAAGTTTTTTGCTCATTTCAGCAGGCAGCTCTTCCTTTTGTTCATCACTGGAATGCTGTGTGGACTCAAGCACAGAGCGCTCCGTCTGCACACGATGCACTGTCCCTGTCCACACAAAAGATCTTTGTCATGATTTATCAGGTCCGACGGCTTACGAGCTGGTGTGCTGACAACTAAACATTGAGTATATCCAGGGCTGGGTGTAGCACTTGTTGCTTGTCTAGCTTGAGAGCTTCCAGATGTTTTGCTTCCCTGCATGACTGTAAGTACATAAAACCACCTTCTTCACAGCACAACTTGAGTTTCACCCCCACGTTTATAATTTAATGCAAACTTCACGCATGAAGTTTATAGAGTATGGAGTGTATGAGCGAAAAGGTATGTAAATGCTGCCTGGGACCTTCATGCGATTTTCAGGAATCGGACAATTCAAGTTCTATAAACTGGACCTGTTCCTATGAGCCATCGGTATTCCTGTATTTCCAGTGTTTCCAGTGTTTCTCTTGCTGTCCAGCGATGGGCCTTTGAATGTTAACCCTCGTCACTCTGCTCTCATGAGTCAGAAAGTATCAGCTTACAGGAAGTGATTTCTGCACACATCTGCACTTTTCTGATCTTTCTGAACCATGGTACTTTGGACTAATCATTGTATTGAGTTTGTACATATAATTTTTGCAACATCCCGCAGAAGGATTGTGTAACCAAGGCCAGGAGCTGACTGCTACATTATATTTTTTGCTAACAGATGATGGCAAAAGCATTTTTATTGTTGTTTTCTGTTAGCTACAAATATGTATTTAATATTGTATTTGTTTTCTTTAGGCAAAAAAACCCCATTTTATAAACAAAGCTGTCTGGCTAAGCTAAGCTCTGGAAAAACTTGATGATCCTTCTGGGCTCATTCGCATAATATGTCATTACTTTCCTAAAAGAACTATCCAAAAAATCTAATGGAAAACCTTTAAAACTCAAACTTATTACTCTCAAACTCATTGTCATCACAGATTACAACAGTCATAGGTATCATGACATTGATTGATTTTTATTTTTTTTTAATAGTCTCTGAAATGGTAAGTTTTTCTGTTTTCTTGTGTATTTTACAAATGAATAGGAAAAGGGCAGGAACGGTGCTGAAGTCTTTGGAGTAGCCCCATATTCATTGGCTCTGGTCTTTGGGGTAGCCCCATATTCATTGGCTCTGGTCTTTGGGGTAGCCCCATATTCATTGGCTCTGGTCTTTGGGGTAGCCCCATATTCATTGGCTCTGGTCTTT